TCTAGGATACAACAGCCAAATTCCTGCTCCCATGCAGTTTTCCATCTAGGGAGGGAAAGAGACATAAGTAAATGAGTAAATGATGTACTTTAAGTCCATGATAAATTCTTTGTGAAATAATAAAGGAGGGTGAGGGGTAGGGAGTGACAGGGATGAAGAGGTTCATTTAGATAAGGATTCAGGGAATGCCTGTGCATATTTGGCTGGAGACTTGAAGGCTCTGAAGCTCTGAACCATTTGAAGACCTGAGGAAAGCATATTCTGAGCTGGGGAAACAGCAAGTTTAAGGGCCTGGAGGCTGTAACAAATTAGGAGTGATAGAGAGAAGTTGAGAGAAGTGTGGCTGTCCTGGGAGTGAGGTGGGAGAAACGGGAAGAAGGTACCATAATGAGGTAAGAAGCGAACAGAGGTTTGTAAGGCAGGGCAGTGAAGTGATCTGTTGGTCATTTTTAGACCTCTCCCTTGTGGAGAATGTAGCCACCCAGGTGAGAATCAGTGGTGGCCTGTGGTAGTGATGGAGACTGAGAAGTGCCCAGAAGGGAGATGTGTTTTGAAGGGAGAGCTGACAGAATTAGCAGATAGATGTAAGACATGAGGAAAAAGGGAAGATGGCTCCTGGGTTTTTGGCCTAAGAAGTACTCTGGCCAGTCCTATTTGACTTATAGAAACAAAGAAATTTGATGGTGAAAGTGTATGTGCCATATTATTGTTAAATTCATTGTATGATAATAATTATACTTTTTTTTAAAAAATCTTGGAAATCAGAGGACTAAGGCTCAATAATGGCTTAATCAGTTCTTCATATCTTTAAAATGGTGTTGACAATATTTTTTCTGCCTCAAGATTTTGAGAAAAAAAAATGAGGTAATGTTTGTGAAAATATTACTCATGGTTAAGTCATCTAATAACTCACTTTTGTATCTGTGTGGCACTTTCAAGGTAAAATGCACTTTCTCCTGTTTGAAGTAGCTGAATTTATTAATAGTAAACACTATGCTAAACATCTGGTGGACTGAAACCCCTGTGACACCATATGCCAAATTATGTTAAACTACTCATTAGCACTACCAAAGGAGAAGTCTGTCCTTTGCCTCTCTTGTTCTCTTTCTCTCATTTTGTCTCTCTCATTTTCCCTCTTTCACTCTGGAAAGTTCACGCAAACAAGAGCAGGCCAACCCTTTGAGAAGCACAACGGATAATACTGTTTCTTGGGTTGTTCCTTCACATACTCAACACACTGAAGCCTCTGTAGACCATCCCCCAGTGCCACCCATAAGGTACAAGTACTTCAGGACTCTGTCTGAAATTCCTGGTCTTCCCTGTTTTGGCAGAACACAAATTGTTTATCATCAGAGCATAGTAATGTTCAGCTTGTTAAATAGACCGATTTTAAGGTATATTAGTCACTGCTGCTGCTTTATTTATTTGTCATTCTTTATTCTTATGCTCTGTTGGGACTCTTTTTTTTTTTTTTTTAACCAGGGAATACTTAGAAAATCAGATAAAAATATTTAACTGATATTTACCTTTCAGATTTTTACATCTTTAAGGAAGGTACATTTCAGAAGTGATACGCGTTTGTTTGTTACAGATCCTTGGCAGTATACAATTTTGATGAATTAAAAGTTTTGCCTTGTTACATATAGATAATAGAATAAGATGAATGACAATAATAAATATCAAGGCATGAATATTCACAGCCTCTTTCCTCTCTCCTGTCAAGGGATATTTTGCTTTTGTGCACCTCATCTTTTCCCCTACCCTCAATTTTGGGCTTTATTAGGTGGATCAGAATGAAGAGTGTATAAGTATGTGTTTGTATGTGTGTTGAAGGGTAAGTGGAGCACGCTAGGCAGAGCTGGAGGGAAATGCCAAAGAAAGGAAAGATTGGTAAAATGTACATTGGGAAAAAAAGCAAGTGACTGATGGAAAGAAAATAGATTGAATCCCAGGGAAGAAAGGCAAAAAGCATTGAAATGTTCAAGTTTCTCAAACAAGATTACTAGAGACTCTAAGGAACAGCTCCTATCTTGGGGGAAGATATTGAAATGACAGAGGAAAAACTACTTTGTAACTTTTGATCTTATATTAAGAATGTATCTGCCCAACATACCCACTACATACAGCTAGAGCTTTCTCAAGTGAAAATTTTAATTAATTTTTATATTTGGGGGGATTGTTTTTTCTGAATTTTACATAATGCTGAGACTAGGCCACAAGGTCTTCACTTAATTCAGAATACCAAAATACTGAGGACCACCAGGTGACGTTTTCTATTCAGCCATTTTCTATGGACATAGGTTAGTGATTCCTGAGTTTAAGATTATTAAGAAGGTTTTTTTTAACCACATAGGGAAAATGGTAAGGGAGGATGTGTTTTTTTAAAAGGATACATATTTGTGGTTTTCATAATTTTGTGGAACTTAGAAAAAACACTACTACCAAGCATTTAACATTGAAGATCTCTACTGAGATCTTCCTGAAATCAGAAACTTTTTTTTGCCAGTCCCTCGGCTTGGTTCTTAGATCTCTGTTATTACACTTAATTTATTCTGTCTGGCTTGTTTTTTCAGAGAACCTTTTTTTTTTTTTTTTTTTTAAAGATGTTATTTATTTATTTGGGGGGGTGGGTAGGGAGGAGCAGAGGGAGTGAGAGAGAATCTCAAGCAGACCTTACTGAGCACAGAGCCTGACGTGGGGCTTGATCTCAAGATACTGGGATTATGACCTGAGCAGAGGCAAATGCTTAACCCACTGAACCAGGTGCCCCTCAAAGAACCTTCTTAATATAAAAGTATTATATGTTGGCCTGCATTTATTTTTCCCCCAGCTTTATTGAGATGTAACTGACAAATAAGATTGTGATATGTATTATATATATAATGATATATTAAAGTGCATAATGTGATTTGATATACATTGTAAAAGAATTCCCACAACTGAGTTAACACATCCTCCTTTTTTTTAAATGAGAGTGCTTAAGATTTATACTCTTAGCAAATTTAAGTATGCAGTACAGTTTTATTAACTATAGTCCCCATGCTGTACATTAGATCCTCAGAATTTATTCATTTTATAATTGAAAGTTTGTGCCCCATTACAAACATCTCCCCATTCCCCCTTCCCCCATCCCCAACTTCTGTCAACCACTAATCTATTTTCTGTTTCTGTGAGTTTGGTTTTTTAAGATTCCCCATAAAAGTGAAATCACAAAATAGTTGTTTTCTGTATCTGTCTTATTTCACTTAACTAATGTCCTCAAGTTTCATCCATGTTGTCACAAATATCAGAATTTCCCTTTTTTGTGGCTGACTAGGATTCCATCGTGCATACATACCACATTTTCTTTATCCATACATCTGTTAATCCATTGATAGAAGCTTAGGTTGTTTCCCCATTTTGACTATTGTGAATAATGTTGCAATTAACATGGAAGTGCAGATGTGTCTTCAAGGTAGTGATTTCATTTCCTTTGGCCATATACCCAGTAGTAGGATTGCTGGATCATATGGTAGTTTTATTTTTAATTAAGCCTTTTTTCCTTTTTTTCTAAAGATTTTATTTTATTATTTTTTAAAATAATCTCTATACCCACAGTGTGGCTCAAACTTACAACCCAGAAATCAAGAGTCGTATGCTCCACCAACTGAGCCAGCCAGGTGCCCCTAGCCTGGATTTATTCTTAATTATGTATAGTAAGCTCATAGAAGACGGACACCATACCTTATTTACAGAACACTATGACAATTAACAGTACTGGCCTTGAAGTTAGACAGATGAGTTTGAATCTTGGCTCTGCCACTCCGCAGTGAAAAAACAGAGTAGTTTTTGTGTGGTTGTTATTGTTACCTTGTTTAATCTCAGTACTCTCCTCTGTAAAATTGACATAATAATGATAATTTCTCTCAGGGCAGTTGTCAACATTAAATGAGATGTATCAAAGTGATCACACAACACCTGGAACAGACAAGCATTCAACCGATGATAACTGTTATCATGTGTATATCTCTTTTTATTTGAATCCCTACCATGCAGCACTCAGATCTTTGCTTTAAAGATCATGGCTAGGGTGAGAGAAGGAAACGATAAGAGGAATTCAGGGGCTAGCACCCTTGAACATTTCTTTTCCTCTATGACCTTAAGATTTAGAGCCCGAGGAGCTGCTGTTGGGGCTTGAGGCCTGCTTCTTCTAGCCCAAATGAGCTTTATTAGAGGTTGGGCAGGAAGAAAGTGTCATTTGTTAGTACCAGGACCTCCCTGGGATTTCTGAGCCTCTCAGGGGAATTTCAGTTCAAACCCCAATTCCTTTTCTCCTCCCCTATAATGGTTCTTCAGGGTCTTCTAGTGGCGGGAACTTCCAGTGACTAACCGCCACCTTAATGGGTCCCTAGGAGCTGGGGACCATCTTAAAAACTACCTCCTGCATGAAACACTTCCTGTTTTCCCAGGTCAGAAAGAGTCACTCATGTTATAGCACATACTTATCGCCCTATTCTAGCTATTAGCTTTATGTTGTTTCCTCCTGTGAATTGCAAAGTCTCTTGAGTTTAAAGTCTGGCTCTGGTTCCTTTTTGATCAGCACTGTGAGCTGTACATATATTGCCAAGTACTGACTATTCTATTGAATTCTATGTAAGCCCATCTTGGGCCTATAACCTCAAGCTGAGTAAAACCCAGACCTCACCCTAAACTCTAAAGTGCTAGCTAGCCTGACCCCCAGAACTTTAAGAGATAAACATCTTCCTATGTTTCTGGGCAATTAATAGCCTGAAGTTCCTTGTTTGACTCACTGTCAGAAGTTCCCACCAATATATTTCTAAGAGTTTGCAGGAATCCAGAAAAAGTCTTCATTTAAGTCATAGGGATTTACAAGATGTTAACATCAAACTTTTTCCTCTCCATAATTTAAAGTTCTATCTTTTACTAACTATTCCACAGGAGTGTGATGGAAATTCAATACTGTAACAGCTGGAAACCATCTGAAAGAATTCTGACTCTATTAGCAGTTTACTTAAACTTTGTTCTAGTCATCATATAAAAACAATAAAGCAATAATTTATTTGGTCCCAAACACGATTATTCTGATTCATACATAAATCCAACATATACAAAATTGTAAAATTTTCATTCTCAACTATCATTACCACATAGTTAACTAAAGTGCCTGGCCAAAAATAATATTGTCTAGATATTATTCTATGTTTTAGCTGAATTTAGGTGAAATAACATCTTAGGACAAGTTTGCTAACTCAGCAACTTGCTTTTCTCATTTGGCATCGAAAAAAAGTTACCCTTTCAACTTCACCAGTATGTCACTGCTTGGATCTCAGTTCTACCTAAAGAATGCTAAAGTGTCTCCTCTTGATTTCATGTGGCTTTTCACAAATTCAGTCAGTTTCCTGAACCCGTCCATCAGTCCATCCCCAGTGATGGCACAGCAGGGCTGAACATTCCAGTTCTGGTCACTGCAGAGCTGCTTCATTCTGAACATTCTGGTGATGTCCTGCCATCTGGTGATGGCAGTCAGAGCTCCAGGCACATCCTGTTTGTTGGCTAACAGGACAACAGGCACATTTTTAATGTGTTCATTCTTCAAAATGGGCTTCAGCTCTCTCCTGGAGTCTTCCAGTTGCTGCTTGTCCGTACTATCCACAACATACATCAGCCCATCGGTGTTCTCACTGTAATATTCCCACACAGTTCTCATTTTCTCCTGTCCTCCAACATCCCAGACTGTGAGTGAAAAACTCTTTTCCAACTCGATCATCTCCACGTTGAAACCTATTGTTGGGACGGTCGTAATATCCTTAGCAAACTTTAATTTGTAAAGGAGCGTAGACTTCCCAGCTGAGTCAAGTCCCAGAAGAAGAATCCGGGCTTGCTTGGTTTTGGGGTTTTTAGAACTCAGTAGACCCATTTTAGGGTGTTTTTTTTTTTTTTTCCCTCCCTTCAAAGACCTTTTCTTTTGGCCAGGGAGAATGTTTGCTCTCCAGGTCTTGTCTGAAAATAATAAGAGGAAAGAAGATAGCAGACGCTTCATGTTCTGTTTTAAAACTGGGAATCTGTGTGCCTTTATGTTGCAGCTTATTGACCTCATTATAGGCAAACAATGTTTTATTTGCAGTCCCAGCCAATCCTAAGGAATCTGGTATGAGTCAGCAGCCAGTGTTACAGTCGCTCAAAGGGGAAATTCTTTGTGAGTGAGTAGGACGTAGGAGGGCCTGGGTGGGTGATGCCACAGCTTGCTCTCTTCCAGATACTGGAAATTTAGAGGTAACCAAAGGTTTACAGGAACATGGTTTGGTAGTAGAATAAAAACTTAACGTTACAAGTGGTTTATAGAACTTCTCTAATTATTATACTGAACATTTATCTTATTCCATTTGTAAATGAGTAACCAGAGTTCTGAAGTCATGAAGGGAGAGTTTATCTCAGCGCCTGAAGTACCTTTAGTTCTCTTCTCCGGTCCAGATTATTCAGTAGGACACTTTAACCCACCCAAGGATAGGTGAACCTTACTCCCATAATATACAGAAACACTTCTCTATTCTTCTAGAAAATTACAACTATTCACAAGACCAAATATACAGGGATAGAAGGGGAGTTTGTAACACAAACACTTTTGAAATTAAGCAGTCTGATTAAAGGTGGTAAATTGAGTACATTTATTTATCTTCTTTCCTCAAGACTCCACCAAAATGATGGTAAAGGAATAAAAAGAACATATAAACCCATAACAAGAGCAGGAGAATCCATCAAAGGGTGAGAGATTTCAACAAAATTCTGCAAGATGGAATATAGATGGAAGATGAGTAGTGTTAACAAAATTCAGCTGAGTAAATTTGAAGATCTGATTGGCTTTATTAAGTGATTCATGAATTGGGCAGCCTCCCATCTACCAAATAAGGGGAGTTTCAAGGAGTTTTACAAAATGGAAGCTTTCTATGGAAAGGAGGATGGGATAGGGATGGGCAAAATGGGTATAGGGAATGGGAGATAGAGGCTTCCTATTACGGAATGAATAAGTTACAGGAATAAAAGGCACAGCATAGAGAATATAGTCAATGATATCACAATAGCGTTGTATGAGGATAGATGGTAGCCACACTTGTGAGCATATTATAATGGATAGAACTGTTGATTCACTATGCTGTACACCTGAAACTCATGTAACATTGCGTATTAACTCTACTTCAATTTAAAAAAAAATGAAAAGAAAGGAGAATGGGGCAAGAAAGTTATTAGCAAAAGAGAACAAAGGATCCGTTTCAGGCTAAGTTGCCCTCCCTTAAGAAGGGAAGGGGACATTTTTAAGTGGATTATTTAATTTTCCTTTGGGGAATGGAGAGGGCCTGTGTGACAAATTACATCATTGGTGCTGTTCAGAAAATTTCTGATTGACAGGTTAAGATCTATTTCTGGGGGAGGTTGAATCTGCAGTTAGGTTAGGTATTAAGCCCCAGTTTGGTGACTCAGCCTGGCCCAAGTGATGCCTATTTGGGGCCTGTGGTTTTCATTTTACAGTGGTAACTAATGCAACAGGATAAAACTGAACCTTGGAATGTTGATACACAGGATACAGATGGAAGGATGGAAATGAGGGACTAAAAACAGCAGGGTTTAAACATCTGAATAAAGAACCCCCCAACAAACAAATAAATAAATAAATACATAAAACCACATGTACACACACCTCTGCTGACTGACCATTCAGCAACAAGATATTATTCCAGGCCAAAAAAAAAAAAAAAAAATTTAAAGAGCGATATCAGAAAAAAGACCTCCAGGTTTTGAGACATCATAATGTCTAACTTAGTATTTAATTAATTATAGCCAACCTCACAGTTGGCAAACATTGCTCATGTATACAGAATGCCCAATCAGCTTTTCAGTGCACAGAGGTTCCCATACTTAATACATAGGATGCCTTCAATATAATGAGAGAAAGACCAAAAAATTTTTAAAAGGCTTTATAGAAGTTTAAACAGGGGTAATGCAGAGATTTGAAAATATTTCCATAGAGATTTGAAAAGGTATTGCATCCATAAAATAAGACAAAGATGCTATTCAAAAGCCTACTCAAAAAACAAAATAGAACTCTTGAAAAACAAATACATGATTTCCAAAATTTGAACAGATCAATAATAGGTTGGAAGAAAATCTTTCAGAAAGTAGAAGATAGAAAATATGAAGAATAAAGAGATATAGAGATCAATCCAGACATTTTATTTATTTGTTTTTAAAGATTTTATTTATTTGAGAGAAAGGGCATGTAAGAGGAGGGTCAGAGGGAAAGGGAGAGGGATAAGCAGACTACACACTGAGCCCATTACTGGGCTCAGTCTCACCACTCTGGAGATCATGACATGATCCGAAACCAAGAGTCAGCCACTTTACTGACTGAGCCATCAAGCACCCCAATCCAGAAGTTTTAATATCTAACCTATATGACTTTATTCCAGAGAGAACAAAAATATGAAAAGCGAAATTATCAAAGAAACAATGTAAGGGCACCTGGGTGGCTCAGTGGGTTAAACCTCTGCCTTCGGCTCAGGTCATGATCTCAGGGTCCTGGGATCGAGGCCCACATCAGGGGTCTCTGCTCGGTGGGGAGCCTGCTTTCCTCTCTCTCTCTCTGCCTGCCTCTCTGCTTACTTGTGATTTCTCTGTCAAATAAATAAATAAAGTCTTAAAAAAAAAAAAAAGAAACAATATAAGACTATTTCCAGAGCTAAAGAATAAATTCTCCAGATTGAAAAATCTTTCATCAATGTTTAGCAAGTTGATATTTAAAAGAGCTGTAATAAGGCCAATGAAATATAGGTTTTATTTTTACTAGAACTAAAATTTTATTTTTTAAAAGAAATTAAGTAGACTATTCTGGGTGTAGAAAGAACATTTACAAAGAAATTATTTAAACTTTTTAAAATTTTAAGTTTTTATTTTAATTCTAGTTAACATAGTGTTATATTAGTTTCAGGTATAGGATATAGTGATTTAAAAATTCCATACAACACCTGTTGCTCATCACAACAAGTGCATTCCTTAGTCCCCATCGCCTATTACACACCTCCCCCTACTCTCTCCCCTCTGGTAACCATCACTATGTTCTCTAAGTCTGTTCCATATGTTCACTATGTTCTCTATGTTCTCTAAGTCTGTTTCTTAATTTGTCTCTCTCCTTTTTTCCCCTTTGCTCATTTGTTTTGTTTCTTAAAATCCACATATGAGTGAAGTCATACAGTATTTTTCTCTGACTGGTTTATTTCCCTTAGCATTATACTCTCTAGCTCCATCCATATCTTTGCAAATAGCAAGATTTCATTCTTTTTTTATGGCTGAATAATATCCCAGTGTGTGTGTGTGTGTGTGTGTGTGTGTGTGTGTGTGTGGCACAACCTCTTTATCCATTCATCAATCGATGGACACTTGGGCTGCTTCCCTATCTTGGCTATTGTAAATAATGCTGTTATAAATATAGAAGTACATCTATAGATGTATATCTATAGAGGTATATCCCTTTGCATTAGTGGGGATTTGGGAGGGCAGCAAAGCAAAGTTTATTGAGCAATGGTAAAGTGATAGTACAAAGCTCCCAAAGAGGGAGGGGACCCAAAAGGGTTGCCACCAAAGTTTCTAAGTCTAGGGACTTTTTATGGGTTTGTTGGTGGGCTGTTTTAATCTGATTAACCCTCCCTCCGCCTATCATCCAATCACTTATTTGTCTATCATATGGGAAAGGTGGAGACTCTTTCCGTGTAAAATCCTTTTAAGGGTGGCTTCCTCTTAAGGCAGGGCCCCTTGTTCCTGCCTGCCTGTCTTCCAACTAGCCATCATTCTCCTATCTGAAGAGATAACCCTAACTGCTGTTAGGGAAGAAAGGCAATGACTGATCGCAGCTACTTCCTGCTGGTCAGGGGTGTTGGATGAGGTGGCAGCCAGGATTCCTCTTGTCCTGCTCTATCAAGGGGTCTCTTTGTAGATGTCTGGTTTGACCTCCGCGTGAGGCTCCATCTGAACCACCACCTGGAATTTGAGGACCTTTCTTGGTTAGTTGTCCTTAATGATGGTGGAGATCCCTGACAAGCCCCTATAAATGTTACAAGATTTTTTCTGTCAGTGCCCACGGTGCTTGTTCACGCCGCTTCAAAGAATGAAGAGATTAAAGCAAAACAAAACAAAACAAAACAAAACAAAAAAGAATGAAGAGGTACTTCAGACAGAGTGGTGGGCAGCAAAGCAAGGTTTATTGAACAACAACAAAGTGAGAATACGAAGTTCCCAAAGAGGGAGGGGACCCGAGGGGATTGCCCGTGTTTTTGTATTCTTTAAGTAAATACCCAGTAGTGTGATTTCTGGATCATAACATAAATCTATTTTTAGCTTTTTTGAGGAACCTCCATATAGTGGCTGCACCAGTTTGGATTCCCACCAACAGTGTAGGAGGGTTCCCCTCTTTCCACAACCTCTTCAACATTTGTTGTTTCTTGCTTTGTCAATTTTGGCCATTCTAACTGGTGTAAGGTGGTATCTCAATGTGGTTTTGAATTTCCCTGATGGCTAATGATGATGAACATTTTTTCATGTGTCTGTTAGCCATTTGTATGTCTTCTTTTGAGAAGTGTCTGGTCATGTCTTCTGCCAATTTTTTGACTTGACTATTTGTTTTTTGGGTGTTGAGTTTGAGAAGCTCTTTTTTTTTAATTTTTTTTATTAACATTTAATGTATTATTAGCCCCAGGGGAACAGGTCTGTGAATCGCCAGCAAAGTTCTTTTATAGATCTTGGATATCAGCCCTTTGTCTGTAGTGTCATTTGCAAATACCTTCTCCCGTTCCCTGGGTTGCCTCTCTGTTTTGTTGACTGTTTCCTTTGGTGTGCAGAAGCTTTTTATCTTGATGAAGTCCCAAAAGTTCATTTTTGCTTTTGTTTCCCTTCAATTTTTTTTTCATTAGACTTTGCTTTCCATCGGTAGCCCTCTTACCTCAAATAATGCAACCTGGGGCAAACAGCTGGTTTAAGGACATAGCTAAAATTAACTCCAGAATGAGAAATGTCAAGGTACAGATTAAATACTCTAGAAACACATCAGAGTACTTAGCTGGGTACAGGCTTAAAGCGTTATACTGTCTAAATTTAATTAGTTTATCACAGACTCTGAAATCAGACAGATTCCAGTTACAGTCACAACTGTACCTTTTTTTCCCTGTATAAATCTGAACACATTACTTCTCATTTTAATTTCTTCATCTGAAAATTGGGAAATAATAATATCTACCTCTCAGGGTTATTGTAAGTAATAAATGAGAAATAAGGCAGCCTAGTATGCCTAGTACATGATACATGGTACACACTCAATAAATGGTAACTGTTATTATTTTATTACTGGTCATAAAGATAACAGATAGGTTTATATTTGTTGGGCAAATGAGATTTATATTTAATAACTTTTTTGAGAGGGAGTATAAAATTGTATCTTGGCTCTGTGGGAAAAAGGACTATGCTCCATTACAAATGTCTGTGGGAAGGTTAATCTACGTGTCAACTTGACTGGGGTA